TATATATATATATATATATATAAAGAGAGAAAAGACTCCAGCTTATTAACTGAACACTGAACACTAGTACTGGTTTGGTACTGGTTTGGTACTGTATCAGCAGCAACCTGGAGCCAACATGTCAGTTCTATTTTTTCTATTTGTATAAATTCAGATAAGCAGATCTTTATATGCCCATATGGATACAGTTTAATGGGAGCATATGACTGCACCATTTATAATACAGCAATAACACCAGCATAATTTTTTATGTGCTATAAAAATGTCATACCATATATAGCAACATTATACGTTTATGATCTGTAGTGCACACAATAAGACAAGCCTGTCATGTCTGATAGCAAGAGCTGCGTAGTACCTAAGAAGCCCCTCCCAAAGTAGTGCTCTGTAAAATATGCAAGAAAACTGTTCCTGTTGAGTGTAGAAAAAAAAAAACTTGTTACAGTGCTTGAAGCAAAAACAGATGATCAAGTACAACCAGCTAATAAAGGAGGAGATACTAGGAGCTAGTGATGTGCGACTCAAATGTAAACAAATGGCTCCACTGAGCAATTTGCTAACTGCACTCCATGTGACAGGAAGAGCAAATGGTGGATGGAAATTACTGATGTGGTTACAAGGTGGTGAAGCAGGGCTATGAGCAGGTGGTTAAAATGCACAACCCAAAGCACAACACCCCAAGAAATATGCGACAATACCATGAATCTCCGGAAGACTTAAGGTTAAGTTACTTTATTTACTGTTGTTCTAAAGTGTTAACCAGTTATTTTATACTCCTTAAACATTCCAGGAAAAACAAAACCTAGGCTATTTTTGTGCTACGTTTGACTTATGCTGTGTCACTACTATTGCACCACAATGCTGCTGCTGTCATCTTGCTTCAATTGATTCAAACATCAAATCGAGAAGTGTGTCATCAAATACAGCAACTCAATGGAAAAGGATGGATAATGCCAAACTGCTAATTTTCTTAAAATATCATGACATTTTAGGGCTATACTGTTCAACCCTAGTTAGCAGACGTTCACTGCTTATCAGATGAACATTATTTTAAAAAAAAGGTGGGGAAAAAGCAGAACCATGGTTTCTATGGAAACACATTATAAATGATATTCTTCATGCCTTGAGACAGAGGGTTCGGCTCCATGGCAACTGCCAGGCCTTTAGCTTGAACTCATTTTACTGCACATCAATAAAAGACAGGGCACTGACATCTGTCCAATTCACAGTGATTTGGCTGCATCCATCAGGTTAAACTGCTGCCACCATCTCCTACTCCCATTAGGCACAATGACTGCGAACACACGGGTCTCTAAGATCGTGAAGACTTTGTCACATCGTCATATCATTTCATTCACTTGGCTTCAATAAAAAAAATTAATACTGACGTGAGAAAGCCAATCTATATTGTCTGTGTTTAGAAAACAGTGATTATAGAGATATAGGTCTGTGCTACAGTGACTCAAGCATTAAATAACTGAAAGGTGGGAAGACGTCTCATTAGATGGCTGCATAACACAAACAGCAACACATTCCCAAGATATGCTTGAAGACTCAAATATGCAGCCTTCTACTGCGCACTGACGATCATCAAAGGAGCAAAATGTACGATTTTTGCTTTTACAGACGTCACTTTTAAAAAAACAAAAACAAATAACCCTTCGTTAATTACTTTTTAAAAAAGGTTGCACACGGTAACTACGAAGCTGCGGCAGCCTCAATAACCAGATGAGATTAGAAAATTAGGTCGTGGGATGGCTGGTCAGCTAGATGTTGTATGGGGATTAACTGGAGCCCTAAGTGCAGCAACGTATACCACAAAGAGGCCCCGTGAAGCTAAAGGCTAACCGTCAACACCAACTACGACGGGCAAAAATCAGCTAGTAGCTCCAGGAATCATTGCCTTGTACATATATATGCAAAACAGAAACATCCGGAGCGGTGATGTTTTTCTTATTTTTTTTCCTCCTGTGGTGCTAACCAGCTCGATGCTAACAGAGGCCCTCGGTGATCTCGTTGGGAGGGGGACTGCGTTGATGTTTCATAATGTATTTTCAACACCTCGCAGCTATCACTTAGCTCACCGCTTGTCAGCTCCATGCTTTGAATCACACAGTGACATTACGACTGCTCGTCCTCACCAAACTGTTATGCTTACTTACAGTTAGTGGGAGGCCCGGGGTAACGCAGAAAAAAAAACAGATTTTTATTAGATGAACAAAACAAAATGGCGGTGTAGATGGGCCCTGTGCATACTAACCCAGGCCGGTTGGGTAGCATTAGAGAGCTGGCTTGTGTAGGTACATACTACTTAAAATACACTACACTATACAACTTAACTGTGCTGGAAAAAACAACCACTGACAAATCATCAATACTGAGCAACGGGAGCATCTTTTAATCGGACACCCTCCGAGCTAAAGCTGAAGCCTCGCTAACGTTTATCCGTTAGCACTAGCCACGAAAAAAAACATCTAATAGTAAACAGATATTTCATCAGCACACAAACGTCCCAGAGACCTTTACTAAAAGGTAAATAAATGTGTGTTTACACACTAAAAAAAACAAGTGGCTAAATTCAGAAGCTAGCGAATACTAGTCAACCACTTAGCCAAGCTAGGCTAATGAGCTAGACAGCCACCTAACGTTAGCTATGCCTTTACAAAAATAAAAATAACCTCGATCCTTAACCAAAAACACCCTCACAGATGCGCCGAGCCCTTGCCCAGAGGTAAGAGTAACAATGTCTCTTCGGTACAATGTAACTGCCCAATGTCCGCATGGAAACATGCACAATTTTCCCAACCACTGACCTGGTCTTGTCCCGACTTGTCTCGAGGTTGTATCGCTGAGTGAGGTTAGCTTATGCTATCACGTATAGCCTCTTTCCAGCAAGTGACCCAGCTAGCTAAGCAACGTTATCCTCTCGCATAGTCAAACCAACACACTCTGGCTTTGCTCTAACTTTGATACCAGCGGCAACGTATGGATAAAGAAGATATTCGGCTTACTTGTGCTCCTTTTCTTTTTTTTGTAACTCCCAAAAATAAATGAAAAGGGGGTAAAAGAAAATGGTTAATGCTGGACTCGATCCGTCGCCTAAAGAGCCGTCAACGGCTACTGAGCCGTTTGGGACCTCTACAGTAAAATAAATAAGCCACTCTTATGTTTTTTAAAGTGCAAGTGAAGCCTCTCCGAAAGAAATGTGAATATTGCAAAGTTAATACCAAAAATATCTAGCAAATTTATCCATGAAAAGTTAAACAATTCATTTTACAATAGAAATCTGAAATTTCACGTTTTCAATATGTAGATGGTGCATTATCTTTTTTTAATATATGTTAATTGTAATACATTTATAAACAGAAATCTGAAAATTTGATTACAAACATTTGACATTTTGTATATGTTACGATTTCTGTATTTATCACTTCATAAATAAATAAATAAATAATAATAATAGAAAATAAAAATGCTAAAAGACACAAAACTGAAACTTTTCCACCTCTGTGCAAAGACTTTGAGCCATGTTTCTTTATATTACCTTTGAAGGAGCCAGTCCTTGGTTTTTAAAGTGGTCTTGAACTATACTTCTCCAGTCTTTCTGAACATCTTTCAAAGTTTTCCTTTGGCCATTGGCTGCTTTTTCACTCATTTTCAGTCCAGTCTTTGTACCTGACCATTTTCAGAGGAATGTTTGTTTGTTTGTTTGTTTGTTTGTTTGTTTGTTAAGCACTTATCAGTCATGGATTGACCTCAATGTTATTGATCATCCTGACAGAAAATACAATAAAAGGCAGGCACTGACCTTTGAGAAGACTGGAAAGCCATTCCTGAAGACTACATAAAGAAATGAGAAGAAATGAGGACTGGCTCCAGACTTTTGGTTGTACTATAGATGGATAGATAATTTGCAGTGTGAAATTCCAGTCATGCCTATGGAGCCACTTATTTTTTTAAAACAAAAAGATTGCCAGTAAAAGTCTACAGCTGATTACTTACACCGAGATGTCTTTTTTTGTAAGTTTTATAAAATGTTATGATTTAATTTTCCATATATGCACTAATTTGCATGAATATTGACTATAAGTGTATGAAATAAAGACCTATATGTGTATTTGAGTTTACTTTTTCCAAGCGTAAACAAAAACATGTCAGAAAAATTGACGTTGGCGTGACATTTGCAACGTATTTTTTTACCTCACGACTCAATTGTGACTTTCAAAAGGCAATTCATAATTAATCTATTTTTTTAAACTACATTCTATTAAAATGCAAAATATGTTAACCTGTTGATATGCCTAACTGCTGATCATTGAATATATTTTCATATTCATATCCCAACTAAATGTTCTTTCTTTTGGAAAACTCAGCACACTGATTTTCATTATAATGTAAAGTAAGTTTCAAAATAAAAGCAGTAAATATTTTACAACTTAAAAAATGAGTTTTTTCCCTTATATTAGAGTTGTATCACAAAGACATATAGAGAAAAACATGAAGTGACATTTTTTGCCTTCAACTGTGGTTTAAATCAGTCCCTCCCTTTTATTTTCATTTCAGACATAAAAAGTGTGTTTTCCACAATCAAATCCATAAAAACAAGGACAATGTGACAAGAAGGAAAATCCATTACAGCACAGATTCATTTATCCGCCAAGCAACTACAGACAAAAGACATTTGGTCATAATCTGACATTTAAAATACACAAATAAAATAACTCCGCTTCCGCTCCATAAATACAAACAAATACATTTTGGGTTACGTTAGGCACCTTTTCATTCACACATTCTTCCACACATGTATATGAAACAATTATTTAAACCTCAAAGAAACAATTAAAGAGAATTTATAAGTGAAAATATATATCTTTTAAAAAAGGTTTTGCTTTTTTAGGCCATTATTTTACACAATTACAAGTTTTCTAAAGGTAGAACTGATTTCAATCAGCATGAATTCACAGCAAACTTTATGATAGTAAAAGAAAAAACTTGCATCTATAGTGGTTCAAAAGTAATTTTCACTTTCACACACTCAAACAGTTTTTTTTCTGTCCCAAAACAATTAGGTTTACAAAATACTTAACAATCAGCTTTTTGTAAACTATGTACCCCGTCTGTAAAACAATCTTCAGCATTTCCTGCTTTGACATATTTCTCTGCCCAAATTTTGCAGCTGTGCAGTTACTTGGCAAATAAAATTCATTTCAATTCAATTTTATTTATATAGCGCCAAATCACAACATAAGTCGCCTCAAGGCGCTAAAATTAAAGGGTTACAAAACACGTGATTTAAACCCCCTTTGAAAAAGGTAAAGGACAGAAGGATTACATGAGAGAAAAATCTTTTTTGATGGCGTAATCACAAAATGTGTGCGTGCAGATTCTTCTTTCTCCATTTTCGTGATATCCTAGAATGAGTCTGTTTATCTTCCTGAGAAAGCTGATGGATTAAAAAACAAAAAAAAAAAACAAAAAACAAACCTCTTCCGGTTTTCTTTTTCCCTTAAGTGTTTAAATCTGAGACAAAACAGATAAGTTATTTATGTTTAGTTTGCACCATAGTTCATGTCTGACTTTGCTCTACCTACGTCCTCGTGTGCTCTTAACGACCACCATACAGGTGGATCTTGGTGAACGAGACAGTCTCGAAATAGTCTTTCTGGCCCTTCTCGTAGATGACAAAGATGTACTTGCGGTCTTCTACAGAGCCGCTGTCCAGTGATGTCATACTGGAGTAGCCGCTCGGACCTGCCCATATCTGGACAGCTTTGTTCTCCCAAGACATGCCGTTTGTCAGCGACCATTTCAGGGTTAGATTCACTCCTGAAGGAAATAAAGCATCACTTATTTATCCACTCAACTTAATCAGGATCATTTCAACCTGGGTTTTTTCTCATCAGTGAGACTCTGTGTTTTGTGCTGATTAAGCAGTTTCCACCTGTACTGCAAAGATTCAGGGAAACAAGGTCAATCTATCTGATTACAGCATTGCATCATGGTATCATTTTCTGCCAGAAAGTTTGCCTCAAACTGGCGTGCATGGATCACTGTGTAGCATCAGATTTCTGTGTTTACTTTCAGTTCAAATTGAAACCGAAATAAGGTGAAAGTCACTTTTTTTATGAAGCTTTACTGAGCTTGTACTTTAGCTCATATGTGAATACAGTTCATAAAAAAGTGGAAAGTTGCCATGATTTATAGAGCTACAGTAAAAACAAACCAGATAAGTTAGGGGAGCTGAAATAAACTTAATTATCATTGGATTCCATAAGAATATAAAGTAGTTATTGTGCCGTAAAGGAAAACACTAAAAGTGGCCAAAGTAACCAAATATTAAATTAAATTTATTAGTGAATACTAAATTTACTCAGGAACTAACTGGGTGGACATTTTTGGGGTAACAGGACATGAATATTTAATAATTATAACTAATGCAACTGATATGAGCCAAGAGTAGAAACGGGAGCAGAGATCACCATGTTTCATATTAGCATTTCTCACTAGAATGGCATACAGAATACATAAAGAGTAACATTCTTCATACACAAAACTAACTTTTTGCTAGTCTTACACAGAGATGAAAAAGCTTAGTGCTCGTGTTTCTTACTCTTTTGCTCATTGGAGGGGTTGGTGAAGTAGATCACGCCCTCTTTTTGCAGAGCTCCGGCTGCCACTACAGGATCCACCAGTGCCTCGTCAAAAATCAGGCCTTCTAAGGGCAGGGTCAACCCTCCATCATAGCTGTGCACCACAATGCGGCACCGGCAGTGGTAGTTGTTCTGGTTCCGGACGTTGATGGCGATGGTCCCGTCAGTCAACTCAATTGGCTGCAGAAGAACAGACGGAGAAAAGAGTGTATCAAAGGTGAAAGATTATAATTACAATTGTAATAGGGATGCCTTCATATAACTGCACTGAATAAAATAAATGGGAGAATCTACACTGAAGTTAAAGACAAAAACAACAACTTACTACCAATAGAGGGCAGAACCACACTTCACAACAGTGCACTATGAGCATTCACGCTTCCTCATAATGTCACTAAATAAACTAATGCTAACTCCCCTTTAACTTAATAACCACCAAACTTTATTTTTGCTGCTACAAGTGTGACTTTTCCCCAAGAACCACTTGATAATTTTCTGTAATGCAAGCAAAACAAAGTCATTTTAAAACTCCACATAAACATTTCCAAAGACAAAAAGAAAAACAAGAGAGAAGTGGCTGTTTAACGTAGGTCTATCAGAAGATTCAAATCATTAGTTACACTCAAGAACAAGAAGACCAAATTATACTTTTCCATAAAAACAACTAATAGAGCCTCCACAGGTTTGGAATATATTGGTTGAAGAAATTAAACCAAGATTAACTGATACCAGAATGATGGGAAGATACAGAATGGAGAAAGAAAGGAACTGTTCATGATCCAAAGCAAACCACATCATGTGTCAAACATGATGGAAACAATATTATGACATGGAAATTTACGGCTGCCAATGAAACAGAGTCACCAGTGTTTATTGATGATGTGACTGCTGACAGAAGCAAACTGCAAACCACACTCAAGAATTTCACAAGAAACTGGATATTCCTCATAGGCCAAGCGAGTCACCTGATCCAACCAAACACGGCACGCGTTTCAGTTATTAAATAGAAAAGTGAATGTAGAAAAAGCCTCAAATAAGCTGCAAGGAAGGAAACCATCTGCAGTAAAGGCCTGACAGAGCATATTAAAGGAGGAAATGCAACATTCGGTGATGTCCTTGACTTCAAGGAGTCGTTATTAAAAGCATTAAAAACAATACGTTAATTTTTCCTATCGTGTTTGAGCGTCTGAAATGGGGGACTGTGCATAAAAAGGGCCATAATTTATAAACAGTTAATCGTTTTGTAATCGTGAATTAAGCTGAAAGTCTGCACTTTTAAATCCATCGTAGTAGTGTAGTGAAACTCTGGTATTATTTATCCTGTACCACTTTATTTATAAAGCAAGTAAGTGAAGGAGATCACCTGATGTGCGATGATAAATCCTTCCACAATTCTGGAGCCGAGAAAGCTCTATCATCTCAGAGTTTGCATTATGTCTTTGGAACGAGTAAAAGCACGTGGCCTTCTGACCTGACCTGCTGACCTGTACACAAACATGTGCTAGAGTAGGTATGAAACAGCACTGTGCTAAAGCATGCAGATGACTCTGTTATTGTTAGTCAGCTGCAGGAGGCCAGCCTCATGATTCTGTTAAATGGCACGTTGAGTCCTCTCTTCAGTTAAAAAATGTCAAAAGATGTTAATCATTGATTGGTCTGATTTTAGGAAATGTGTTCACACACACACACACAACAGGTCACAGCTATAAAGGGCCAGGTGGTATAACGTCTTGAGTCTGATAAACATCTTGGAACAATTATTGATTCAAAACTGAACTTTGAGGCAAACAAACTGTGAAGCTGTGAGCACAGAAGGCACTAGCAACTGTCCTGCTTGAGGAAACGTTCTTACTTCCACAAAACCACGATGACTTTATCCCGCTTTCACCAAGTCTGTTTTGTCCTTTTCCTTGGTGGTCTGGATATTTATGTGTAAAAAAACAGAAGCTCACTCAGGCACAATGTTAAATTACAGGCTGACTGGTGAGCCACAGCTGAACCCAGCTTCTCTGTATGTCAGGCAGTTACAGCGGTTGGCTAGTTAAGTTTCACTTGATGACTCACAGCGGTTGCATAGCGAGTTTCAATCTCAATCTCTTCAATCTCTAAGGATACAAACAGAGTCTAAAGCTGAATGATGTTTGATCACCACTGTTATGTTTATATAAATGATATGCAAATACAGGATATGGAATGTGAAAATGTTTAACATTTGCTGATGTTATGGCTGTTTGTTGGCTTCTTTAATGGGAATTTTAAGTCTGATTATTTTGCTCAGGTATGTAGATTTGAGGATTGGTGTAAATCTTGTTATTTGCTGATTAATGCTGACAAAGGGAAACGCCTTGAATTACACAGGCTCAAAAAACAGGTTTTTCACTTTCTGATCAGTCTGTTTAAGTCAGTAAAAGCTTCAAGCGTCTGAGGACAAGATGACAAGATTTATGGGAAGTATGATTTATGGAAAATATTGATGTCATCAACAAGAAAGCTAGTCAGAGGTTTTTTGTTTTGTTTTTTTAGGAAGTTAAAAAGTTAAGTCAACAAAAACATTGTTTTTTGGTGTATGTCAGCTTCAATATCTCCATCTGGGATGGTAACCTGAGTGTGGCAGATAGAAACAAACTGGGCAGCATTGTCAGAACTGCTGTTGGTTGACAACAAACCTCATTAGATAATCTGTATCACACTGGCGTCTTAAAAACGCCGTTCTGTTGTTGCTGTCTGAGAACATCCTCTTTATTCTGATGCCACTAGGTAGAAAAAAGGTGTGTATGTAGTTATTATTGTATGAATAATTACCAGTATTTTTATTATGGATTGATTATGAATTGATCTGCAGCATGGTGAACCAAAGAAAGTTTTCCGCTAATGTTGACAACAAAGTTAATTTAATTGTGGAAATGACAAAAAACTCTGTAACTGTTCAAATACTAATGGCTCTAACTGTAATCTCTAACTGACCGACGGCACCAGCAACCATACCTGGCACTCATCAGGGTTGAAGTCCTGCGCTTTTTTCTTCTGGTTGTAGGGGATGCTTTTCAGCGCTGCACCGTTGTACCAGGTTTGTCCGTGGTCGTCGCTCAGGATGCAGAAAACACCGTCGCCCTCCAGTGTCCCATGACCGCAAACCACCAACCTCCCCTTTGCAGGATTGAAGCGCTTCTGTAGTCCAAAAGACACAAACAAAAAACAGTTCAGGGATGCAGCTGTTGGTTATCATCATTTAGTATTTTTTTTAATGTTTAAACACGGTTGGTGAGCTGAGAAGTCAGAGAAAACAAAGAGGAGAGGAATTAAACGAGTGAGCTGTGTTCAAATAATTTATTTTATTTTTTTTACAGATACTGTTTTGTGTCATATTACTGATTAAAAAGGTGTATTATCCACAAACATAACAGCTCTTAAAGATTGATATAGACTGTGGAGAGAAACAAGCAGCTGCAGACATTACTGTCTGGATTAAATGCATTCAAAGCTGAAAATAAAGCTATGCATCTGGTTAAATTCAATTGAATAAAGTCCATATTAGAAAGGCAAGTATAAATATAGCTCACACAAAAACAAAGAGGTTCATTTACTGAATATCGGTGCTGTTACACTTGCAGTGCCTTACATTATGCTCTAACTTTTTCTTTTATAAACCAGCTTTAATATTCCTGTGTGTGAGCTGAGCACCTCTATGCAAGCAGAGGTTTGCTTGTCTGGAGCATTCATGTGTGTGTTAACACCAGCGATGATCTCAGAGGAGCAACTGCTGCTGCCCATCAGTCTGGGTTTCCAAACAATTTGAAGTTGACTCAAAAGTGGAAAACATTCAGGACAGCTGCTGATCTTCCCAGGACTGGACGTCCCAGCGAATTCACCCCAAGGTCAGATGGTTAAATGCTGGGAGAAGCTGGATAAAAATCCCTGAGAGCTACATCTCAGACTCAGCAGGCCTCAGCTAGCAAATTAAATGTTACAGTTAATGTTCGTTTAGAAAAAGACTGAACAAGCACAGCTTGTTTGGAAGGGTTACAAGGAGAAAGCCTGTCTTCTCTAAAAAGAACATGAAAGCACAGCTTAGGTTTGCAGAGTCGCGCTGACTCCTGGAACAATGTCCTTTGGACAGACGAGGCCAAAGCGGAGCTGTTTGTTCATCGTGCACAGCACCACCTGACAACCAAACACAGCATATCAGCACAAACACCTCATACCAGCTGTCAGGCACGGCGCTGGAGCACCTAGCCACAGGACCTGAGCACCTTACAGTCATTGAGTCATAAAGTCAAACAGTGGTGCTACAAGCTACTGAATCACAGAGTGTACTTAGTTTTTCACATGACTGTAGCTCATAATAATAAAAAAAAAATAAAAAAAATGAATCTGCATGTTCTAGGGAAGGCAACAACATCATAAGAAGCAGATTTTATTACAGCAGCGTTTATAGTTCACCTCGCACTTAACATAATGTTTCAGTGAAGGTTCAAAACATATCAGCAGGTTACAGCATTAATTGGGATTCTATTATCTATTTTTATTTCATAAAAGGTAGACCAGTGTATCTTCTGCTTAATGAAATAATACTTCAGCACTTCCAGCTCACTTCCCTTCACACAGTTAGGACCCTTTCATCATCGACAGCCTTACTCTGACCTCTCAGAGGCATGCAAGGGGAAAAAGTGACATTTCAACAGAACATTTTTTTATACTTCTCATTGTTCTGGAAACCCCATTATAGTTTTAGGGAGCATTCATGGTTACAAATTTATGCTACACGTTCGGGTTTCACACTTAGGATCCCAACTGCTCAGCCACTGAGATGATTCATAGTATATTTAGACATTTAGTAAAGACACAAACATCCCAACATGTACACTTTGTCTTCCACTGATGCCTTTTTTATTTATGTCTGATTTAAGTATTGCTTCCCTGTTTAGGATTAATGAAAGTATTTAAGGAAGTCATGTCAGTGTGAGGTATTTTGATTACAATTACAGGTAACTGAAAAATACTCAAGTACAATCGTTAGACCACAACTAAGACATACTGTGCATCAAATGCAACAACAAGAAGCTCCGTTTGCATCTGATTCTGAGTCCATTTTAATAAACTAACGCTCTGTGAGAGGTTTATATACTTTCAGCTGCTACTACTGACCACTTTTTGTCTGAAATGAAACAAGAACAAAGCCAGGTGTCGTTTCTCTAATCTGGACAGAATAATAAAAGAGACAGCAATCACGAACCAGTGCAATCCTCAGTAATCCTTTATCTTCTGAGCTCATGACTTCTTTTTTTTTCCTTTTTATTAAAGCTGGCCTGTTTTTATGACAGCTGCACATTGCAAAACTCTGATGTCAAACTCAAACCAGTGCTTTT